AAGCCCATCTCCCTTCCCCAGGCTCTCCCCACTGGCTGCAGCCATGGGCCCTGTTCTGAGCCCTCCGCCCAGCACAAGTCTGTGAGCAACAGAAGAGGGAGCAGAGCTCCCAGGGCAGGGAAGCTTTCTGGCTTGGTCCAGGCCTTTTCTTTGGGCGCATTTCCTGAGTGTTCTACTACTCATATGCCAAGGTCAGGCTGTGCTGTGGTCACTGCCACATTTGTCTGCAAGAGCCCAGCCCCTGGTCCCAGCATGCTGGTCTGCTGCTCCCTGCCTCACAGCCAGGCTGTGATCCATAACTTTGTGCCATTGCTCCGGTATCTCCCTCCCAGCCTGCACCTGGTATCTTCTGTCCCCTGGTAGGTCCTAGGGCCTCCTCAGGAGCTGAGAGGAGATGAGCTGTGCTCATGGTGGCCAACAAAGTGCTGCCTCCACCTGCCCCTTGTGCTGCTGGTGTCACACCACAGCGTTTTGTACAGAGTGTGGCACAAGAGTGTGGTGCTGACTGGGGCTTCTGGGCACTGTGACATGAATATTTACTAGTAATTCAGTTGTTCATGCTCACTGCAGGCTGGAAGGTATGACACAGCATTAGAGAAACAAATTATTTGACCATTTTCAGGGCCGTATTTCTGAAAAGCAGTGAAGGTCTGCGTACAAAAGTGTGCTTGCAAATCTGTGTGTTTACTTCTGTCTATCGTGCACTCATGTTATTCATCAAATATGGAGTTGAAAAAATACTGTAGAGCAACAGGCAATATACAGCCTGTTAGAATGGCTACAACATCTTATTAGAACAATGGTACCTTTAGGGAATAAGGAATGTAAACAGTGTTTCAGAAAGAACCATCTGACCCTGTGTTATGAGGAGGGGAGGCAGCTCATGGGCCCAGGGAGGCCGCAGTGGGGCTCTGGCTGCCATCCTGTCCCCGTGCTCCCATGGTGGGGTCACCTGCTCAGAGTTATTCTGGCTTCACCTGCTCAGAGACTGAAAATTGGGCTGCTGTTGGAACTTCACAGTTAGGTCTGGAGCACAGGGCCTGGCCCATGAAGGCTGTGTGAGGATGGAAACACATACAACAGCCTACCCTGCTCTCAGGATTTTGGGAGGAAAAGTAGAGTCACTTTAAGGATGCTCCTGCACCAGACCCATGCCAGGGCAACAGCTTCCAGCGTGGGCACTTCCAGCCATGGGACTGGCAGGCAGGGCAGGCAGGTCCATCTTGTCCAAGGGCTCATGATGCTGATTAATTGCTCTGAGAAAACGGTGGAGGAGGTTTGGGGAGGGAGGCACCACCAAATATGGAATTTTATTTTCCATCGGGCAGTGAAAACACAGTTCCCTGGTCCTGCTGAAA